GTGTGCAAATACACACAAACACTACACACACACACTTTTGGCTTTGATCCTTTCATAGATTTATCTCGCGTGCTTTTTATCCAGAGAACAAACCTTTGGAAGATCTGTCCTTGCTCAGAAGAAATATCCAGCGTGGGTTTTGGGGTTTGTCTGTTTGTTTTAATTGCAAATAATCCTCATTTTAGGACTGTAATGGAACCCATTCCTAAATTGTGGTGGTTGGGAAACAGAGATTGCCTCACCTATGCAATCACTAAACAAATGGTTATAAATGGAGTATAGGTGAACCCTGACTTACAACAGTTCATTTAGTGACCGTTCAAAGTTACAACGGCACTGAGAAAAAACAAACAATCTACGGTCGTTTCCTTAACGACTGTTGCGGCATTCCCCCATGGCCTCGTGATGAAAATTCAGGCGCCTGGCAACCGGTTCATATTTATGATGGTTGCAGTGTCCCGCAGGGTCACGCGATCCCCTTTTGCGACTTTCTGACAAGCAAAGCCCAGGTTTCCTTAACAACGGTGCTTCCAACTTAACAATTGCAATGACTCACTTAACCATGGTGACTATAAAAAGGTCGTAAAACAAGGCAGAACTCGCTTAACAACTGCCTCGCTTAGTAACAGAGATTTTGGGCTCCACTGCGTTTGTAAGTCGAGGACCATCTGTATCTCCTTTCTACTTCTCCACTAAAACCTCTTACAAACTCCTGCCCATTTTAAGCCTTTCTCAGCTTTTCAGCAGTGGTGGGATTCCAAAATATTTTACTACCAGTTCTGTGGGCATGGCTTGGTGGGCGTGGCTTGGTGGGCGTGGCAGGGGAAGGATATAACTGCAAAATCCCCCTTCCCTTCCCTCCCCACTAACCTGCTTTCCAGCTCTGTTCTCCTGTGCAGGGCAACCAAAGAAGACCCAGCCAATCAGCTGGGACTTAGGAGGCGGAGAATTGATGGGGGCGGGGCCAACCAGAGGTGGGATTTGCCGGTTCTCTGAACTACTCAAAATTTCCGCTACCGGCTCTCCAGAACTGGTCAGAACCGGCTGAATACCCACCTCTGCTTTACAGGGAATTGTTGGAGGTGAACCACTTTTGGGGACACTCCAAAATGAATCTCTGCTTCTTTGGGCCTTTCAGGTGGAAAGGAGCCAAGGGTCAATTGAAACGGCACAGAGCCCATCTTGTGACGGACGTCTTCCAGTAAAACCAGGCTCCACCCGCCAGAGGGATCCCCGGGGCATTTCTCGTTGCCTGGCCCCCGATCGGATGCAAACCCACCGAAGGACCTTCGTCGTGGACCACCCCGGCTGTAATCCCTCCTTTGCGGCGTCCGAGAAAAGGTGGCTGGGCTTCCCCTTCGAGCCTCCAATGTTAAGGAAACGAGAAGGTCAACCCCCCAAACCAAGGGGAAAAAAGAGCAGTAAATTTGTCCACATCCCATCAAATTCCGTTGCTGAATCCTTGCCACATCCTGTGATTATATTGGTTGAACAATACCGATGGCAACCCCCTTTCTTGTTTTTTTTTTTTTAAAAAGCAAGTGATGACAACAATCTCTGGGTCCATTTTAAAGCTAGGAAGCCAAAATTAAACAAAACAAAAAAAAATAAGAGCACAATTAAGATCTTGTTCCCAAGGACGTTTCGTTTGGGGAGTCTAAAATAGTTTGGAACCAAAAACATCACTGCCTATTCTTTTTTCTTTCCTTTTGTTTTATTTTTAAATAATTGAATTGTCACCTATCTTTAATTCGGTCCTTGGAACTCTCGGCTACTAGAGAACTAAACCGGCAGGGCCATCTCTTCTTTTGTAACCGAAGCTTGCCTTTTTTTAGGCGCGAGATGTAGTTTGCCAAGGTGGTCCTGGACCTCTGGTTCTGTGTTGTGGAAATAAAAAGTCTGCAGTCTATTTATTATTTTATCTCCGTGGAGAAACCGTTTGAATAAATCATACTGGGGTCGCTCTCCATACATGGATTTTTACTATTTAGGCCAGGGGTCTCTAACCTTGGCAACTTTAAGCCTGGAGGACTTCAACTCCCAGAATTCCCCAGCCAGCTTTGCTGGGGCTTAAACTTGCCAAGGTTGGAGACCCCTGATTTAGGCGGTGCTTCTCAAACATGAAGAGCTTTAAGATGTGTGGACTTCAACTCCCAGAATTCACCAGTTCTAATATTGAAGCCGGCTCATGCCTGGCTAGGGAATTCTGGGATCTGAAGTCTATCTAGTCATGCTGGCCAGGGAATTCTGGGAGTTGAAGTCCGCACTTCTTAAAAATTCCCAAGGTTAAGAAACACAATGCAGGATAATCTATGCCCCAACTGTACAAGTAGTGATGAAGTTGATAACGGGAATTATTATGGCACGAACTGCCGATTTTTCTTCCTCACCATGAAAATGTTGACATATTTCACAGATAAATCAACTGAATAAATGGTCCAAATAAATGCTGGGAATTTGGGGGCACACGATTGGAGACCTAATTTGGCATAAAAAGCGATTCCGTTTTTATTACAAGAGTTTACAGAGTTATCATCCTCCCGCTGGCTATCCGTAGGAATAAAATGATCAAAGAGAGAAATTGGTAACTGGGACGACAGTGCAATGCGATGAATTCTTTCCTCATCCACTTCCTAGGTTCATTTGGGTATGAGAGCCACCTTTCAGAAAAAGGAAAGTAATTTAGGGCTCCCTTTGATTTTGAGAAGGGACAAGATAGGGTAAAAAAAAATGCAAGCTAAATTACATGCTCCTTTCTGTGCCTTAAGTTGCAGAACCGCAGTAGAGCTGCCTCTGCATTTTTTTTCCAGTCACGTTTCATCTTGAGCTTCTTATCTCAGTAAGATTAAAATTCTTTCCCCCCACCACCACCCCAGCTGCAACGACCGCGTTAAAAAAAGATTACAAGACTGTTGTGTATAAATGTAAGTGGTGCTACCTGGATTTTCCTTTCCCCCATTACTGTAGACTTAAAAATGAATGTAGAGAATATTAATATGTCACGGTGTAAATAAAAAAAGAAGGCTTAATATGAAAAAATAAATAAAAATGGAGCTTTTCTTTTCTTCTTTTTCCCCCCCGGAAGGAAGGTTGTTCAGGAATCCAGAACACAAAAAACAAATCCCAAACCTGATTAGGAGCGGCTGTAGAGGGGAGCGAGGTCAAAAAAGTCAAGATGGTCGATACGTCTGCACAACTGGTGCTCAGGGGGAAAGGGGCGGGGCTTAATCTCTCTGTAGCCATGGCTGCGATCTTGCCTGTTTTGACACCTTGGGCTCTCCCAGCATTCTGAAGGCTGAGATTTTCTGAAAGCAAAATCCATCCACCCTAATTTTAGGGTGACATGTTGTCCAGAGAAAGTATTTTCAGGCTATTTCTAGAGTTAATTTATAAATCACAACAGGGAGCTTTTGCCTGTTTACGAAAACCCTGTTTGAAAAAAAAAAACACACTATTTGAGTTACTGGTTTGGCAAAACCCTTGTCCCAAATGCCCACAAAGTTTACCAGGATAACAGAGTTGGAAGGGACCTTGGAGGTCTTCTAGTCCAACCCCTTGCATAGGCAGGAAACCCCTATGCTATTTCAGACAAATAGTTGTCCAATCTCTTCTTAAAAGCCTCCAGTGTTGGAGCACCCATAACGTAATCAGTCATTCCACTGATTAATTGTTCTCCCTCTCAGCAAATTTCTCCTTAGTTCTGGGTTGCTTCTCTCCTGGATTAGTTTTCATCCATTGCTTTCTGTCCTGCGCTCAGGTGCTTTGGAGAATAGCTTGACTCCATCTTCTTTGGGGCAGCCCCTAAGATACTGGAAGACTGCTCTCCTGTCTCCCCTGGTCCTTCTTTTCATTAAACCAGACCTACCCAGTTCCTGCAACCGCTCTTCGTATGTTTTAGCCTCCAGTTCCCCTAATCCTCTTTGTTGCTCTTCTCTGCACTCTTTCTAGAGTCTCAACATCCTTTTTTACATAGTGGCGACCAAAACTGGATGCAGTATTTCAAGTGTGGTGCAGGGATTCAAAAGTGGTACATGGATTCCATGACTAACAACAGACCATTCTAGGCTACAGCAGCACTGAAAAAGTGGCCTCAGAATTATAACCATTGCATTATAACCCCATGATCAAATGATCAAAATTCAGACAGTGGGCATCTGACTCAATTAATGACGATTGCAGAGTCCTGGGGTCATGTTAACCATGTTAAGTGAACTACCTTTAAATTAAGTGTGTTGGACTAAACTTGTATTACAGCCTTTTGAACCGAGGACTTTCCAGTCTCGTTGTGAAGTCCTCCTTTCATGTCCTGTGGCAGCCTGTTCCACTGGCTAACACCTTCTTCAGTGCAAAAACTCTTGCCATCTACTTTGCATCTGCAATGCACAGCTGCTTTTCACAAACCCATTTCAACACCAGCCCGATCAACTCAATGAACCGTTGAATCAAATTTCAGAAACACCAGAGCTTTTCAAGAAGAGATTGGATTTGTCCTGGCTGGGGGTTGGACTAGGAGACCTCGGAGGTCCCATCCAACTCTGTTGCTCGGTTAAATTTCAAAGACTGAGTTGAAAACGTGGCAGTCTTCCGCACCATTGGTGTGACTGATCTTTAAAATCATTATTGCGCACTTTTGAGCTCCTGTTTGGTTGCATCATCTGGACAACAAATCTTTGCAAAAGTTTTCATGCCACCAAATGCCCACCCCCTCTTTCTTGCTCTGTTTTCTGAGTTAATAACGTGAAGCAGCCTATATTATAATTGCTCTGTTAGATGCATTGTCAAGGTTAGGGTCAAGGCCAATTCACCGTATGAGAACAATCCTCCTATCGCTAAACACAATACCAAGTTCCTGTTTTCTATACACATCGGAAGAGGATGTTCCCATTGGCATCTGTTTAAACGGATACCCTATGGGGTAGCAGCTGTTTTTATATACCTTGTGATTAAAAAAAAAGATTACCAGGGAAATAGAAAACAATTTACACTCGGTGCAGGAATTAGAAAGTAAACTACAGGTTTTCAAGAAGAGATTGGACAACAACTTGTCCAGAAGGGTATAGGGTTTCCTGCTTGAGCAGGGAGTTGGACTAGATGACCTCCAAGGTCCCTTCCAAATCACTCCTACTCCAAGCAGAACCACCAAAGTATGACAGAATCGAGGCAGAGTTTTGCGCTTAGCTTCCCTGAATATCTGTGGAAATCTTAAGAGTAAGGTACAGATTTGATTTATGACGCTCATAGATCCTGTCTATTATTATCATAAGTCATGACGTTTGTGAAGTGAGCGACAGACTTAGTGTTATGACTTTTTTCTTTTGCTTTGGTTGTTAAGCGAACAAAAGCCGGTAAGTATCTACTGAGAGACTAGAAAAAGCAAGATAGGAATAGAAGATCATCATGGGAGAAAAACATCTGTTTCTCAGACTGCCAGGAGTTGAAAACAACTGGATGGCACATAATTAATTAATATGCTCACCCTCAAATTATAAGTACAGGTGGACATAACCGTAACGGAGCCTGCATATTATACTTACAAGTCACAATGTTCATAAGGGTGTCACCACATGACTGGACCTGTTATTTATGGCCCTTTTTTCCAGCAGGATGTTAAGTGAACACAGTGATTGTTAAATGAATCCGTGGCCATTAAGCTAACTACAGTACAGTATTTTGTGGGAAACCAGAAGTAAGCGCAGGGGTTTTTTTTAGCAAAAAATATAAATCGTGGACTTCCAGGCCAATTTCTGAGTGCCCCAAATACAACCAACAGACCGAGGAGGTGGCCTTTGGAACCAGGTCATAAGTACTTTTGGGGGTATATTCAAATGTTCACTAAGCAACCAGTAGTAAGTTGAGGATCTACCTATATATGCTGCCTCTAGATATGGAGATTTAATTACTAATATCATTTAGAAATCTTCATTACAACAGCATCTTGGACCAAAACCTTATCATGGTTGCACCCAAATCTAATTTGATCTTCGCTCTTCATCTACAAATATGGTTTATTATTGTCCCTGGTTCTCCTTTCACTATCTTCAATCTTTATCAAAGCTGAACTGGCTAAACAAAAACTCTCCGCGAATTCCTTTCAGATCAAGCAAGAACCTCAAGAATTCGTCTCTTCAGAGAAGGGATGAAGCAGTGGATAATTTATTACTGTCCCAGACCAGGTCATAAAAATTAAAACAGCCTAATGCCATCTGAAAAGGTACAAGCATCTGGCTAAAATGATAACCCTTGACAAACAGGCTGCGAATGGAGCCCTGGGCTTCGGCCAAAGTTTTTGAAAGCTGCTTCTTGCAATGTTTGAAGGAGGCACTCTTTTTTTTTTTCATCCCGCAAGCTTCAAAACACGAGGGAGTGTTCGTCTGTCTTTGTGTGGGTTTAGGCTCCATTCCAAATTTTGAAAAACCTTTCTGGCCCATGACCCCTTGATCGTTAGCGAGAAAAACTCACTGAATTTCGCTGCCCTGTTCTTCAAGAAGCTGCAAGGAATTCATAAAATGCATGGGAGAATGTACAGGATAAATTTATCCTGTCCCCGCCTAAATTTATACGCATCCAAGCACATAAAACATTTATTTGGTTCTGGT